CAAAAATTAAGAAACAAGTAAATTGCAAATATACAGACACCATACAAAAGTCTGGCTAAAGAGAAGAAAGAGAATAAATGTTCAAAGGGCATACAAGGTAAAGTGAATGTTTTTAGTACATAATTTGAATAGATTTAAATGCTTTGTGGTAGAAGCCAGTTTGTACAGTTTGACTCAAGAGGCAGATGACTGAGTGAGGTCTCTTAGAATGTCACAGGAATGAGCTTTTGCCACAGAAGTAAGGTCAAGTTCATCTCGGGGTAATAACAACCAACAATACAGTCAAAATCCTCTCAGAGTTCTCCTTACAGAAGGAAACACAGATGCCTGTCTATTCAACTTCACAATATTCAAATAAATATAAATTTGAAATGGAACACCTTTATAAAAAACATGTCACAGAAGACAAAATGAAACCGAGGTGCTTAACTTGCCGGTGGATAGTCTTTTAATTTGTCACAACTCAGTGGAGATCAATTTGATGACATGTATTAAATCATAAATTCAGGTTAATTACATTTCTGAGAATTTAGCCCAGGAACCACTGTAACATATAGGAAGAGACTTAATATGTACAAAAACTCTCTGGATACTACCTTAAACTCGAGAGTAGTTAGGGAAGTCATAAGCAAGTGTCATTGTTAGCACAACATACAGTACAGTTAACTTACAAATTATAGGAACATATGAAATAAAACACAAAAAAGTGTCGAGTGTTACATGAAACTTTTTAAAGCACACAAATGTGTAATCAGTATTATGCTTTTCAAAACAGACTAAAAGACTAAAAGAAAGTATTTTAAATGGTTTAAAAATATTTTGATTACATTAGTAAAAATAAACTATGAGTAATTTTTTCTTTGTCTATTCCAAATTTCTTTCTCTTATAAAGAAAATAAACAATAAATAAGGTATTTAAACTTCTAAAGGTCATCATTTAAGGAACCATCAACAACATGAACTACTTTCAGCTTCTATTATTTCTAATTAAAACCCTTATTTCTGGGTTGGTGATGTAGTCAGTGGTTGAGTACTTGCCTAGCACATGCAAAGCCCTGAATATGTACCCTGGTGCTGCAAAAGTAAATAAATAAAAGTAAAGATACACACAAACCACACACCTCATTTCTAATGACTACTAACTCTCCAGTCCTCTAGCTTCTCCAAAGCTCACCCCAAATTTCCTAGCCACAGTAGCCTCACTCTTCTTGAGCACCCATAGCACCAGTCTACACTATTCATCTACCACTTTGCACCAGATATCTTCCCAGAATTCCTTAGAGTAACATTTGAAACTCATATGCTCTGCCCAAGCAGCCAATTTTCCTGCCTGGAGAAGAGAAAAGGATCATAATACACTTCAGGGGCTCTACACTTGCTGATGTTTCTCAGGCATACAGCCATCATGATAAGACTGTCCCAGAAGTGACTGCTGAGGCTACAGAGGATAAGAGGTGCTAGAATGCCTGTAATGCACAGGCATTTTCTGGATTACAACAACTCAACACTGAACCACCTCATAAGCCCTTCACATACAACTTGAAATGCACTTGGTTTTAAAATTTTCGCTTTCAGCTGGCAAGTTTCTTCTAACGTAATTTAAGCAACCCATTCTAAAAGAAAAGGTTGGCTAGCTTCCAGGAGGAATTAAAGGAAAGAAGGACTAGAAAAGCAAAAGACAAAATAGATCAAGCAGGATATTCAAGCATACATCTTTACTTGCTTCAAATATTAACTCCTACAGAAAAACATGACTATTCTTTGAGAAAAACAATCAATGTTCAGAGACCATCAATAACACTGAAGGTGCGTCAGCCCTGTTAATTTCACAATTTCAAAAGGAAATAAAAACTCAAAAATGAAACTTCTTCAATTTAAAGATAAAAGAAACACGCAAAGACAAGAGAGCATCAAAGATAAGAGTATTAAAGAAAAAAAGACTCAAAACAGTGAGTTACCCACCTATTCAAAGAAGTTAACTAGAAAAGATATCCTTAATAAAGTCACAATTCAGTTAGATTTTTTAAAAACTTGACTGAGTCTTATAGCTCTAGCTACAGAAGGCACTGTAATGCCCCCAGCAGGAGTCACCACCTGACAGAAGCCTTCTCTCCACGTTCTCCATCTAATGAAACGACAAACACACGTTACTACATCTAAAAATGACCCGTTACTGACCCTGTTAGAACCCGGGCCAATACATTCCATTCCTACTTTACCATCTTAACTTATGCACAGGTAACTACTGTGTTTTGTATTAAATTCTGTTTTAAAGCATTCTTTAAAAATGCTAGCTTGCACATTTGAAGATAAAGCATTTTAAAGAGTCATCCACATAAATTCATAGTTTATACTTTACAGAATTCATATTGGACAGTCATATAATGACCTCAGCATAAAATGCTTGTTCTATAAAGAAGGACTGCTAGTTTTTCTTCTTCTCATCTATCACTTCAAACCTACTGAAAGTGAAGTCTAAATTAAAATATAGAAACTATATTCTAATTCTAGGCCTAAAATTTAATGCTCATACCACTAACTTAAATACCTTAATAGAAGAGAATGATATATTTAAAGTATAAAAATATCTGTCACCTATGGAAACCTCAGAAATATAAATCTCTTTGCCTCATTCATTCACTGTCTAATAAAAATAACTTTGCCAAATTGAGTAATGGGTAATTTATACTGCTGACCTATTTTACTGGATCTAAAGAATGAGTAGCAAAATTAGAATTATTTTTGTCTTCATATATTTCTGTCAACCATCTACCCAACAATGGTTGAGTAGTCATTTGATATAAGTGTGTGTGTGTGTGTGTGTGTGTGAGTGATCATTTTATTTAACCAATCTGTATCTAAACTGGAGTTTTTGAGATGACACAATTATAAAAAGACCTCTTTATCAGCTTTGTATTGATGACACAGCTCTCAAATGTCACTTCAGCTCTTAGGTTGAGATAATGAAGAAGGAAAGATAACTGTCTCGGTGCAATCCAAAAATCCTAACGATACTCTTAGGTTACATGAAAACAGGACAAACAGCCATGTCTGCCGAAGTAACCTGCTGAATAATTACAACACCACCTGCCTCCACTAGCTAAAAGGAAGAACAAACCTTCAAAAGATTGTGTTGGAGTGATGCTAAACTCTTTGACAAAGACAGGGGAGAAGGGACAGACACTTCTCATTTGAGCGTCATTACATAAACCGTAATAAAGGAAAGAAAACTCAAAATGTTCAACAAAGCAAAGAATGAGAGGTACCATTCTGTTCATTTCAGCTTTAAAACTCTAGGTTACTGATCTCTAGGGACAGCTACACACCCAGCACAATACAGTTACCACAGTTTTTACAATCTGCGACTTGGTCCAGTAAATACTAAAATTACTGTTAAAATGACCAGAATTTGTCAACTGATCTTTAAATAAAGCACACAGGTTTACAGTGTGTGAAAGGATAAAATCTATTAATACCTATTCTCAATAGGACAACTCCAATTTCCAATGTAAATGGTATCATTAGAGGTTGTACTCTACCTCTGTCTTTTGGGATTTGGGAAGCATTTTACTCAGTTACCAAAATTCAAAATTTTCAAATAATAAAACCTTTTGTAAGGAAACAATATTTAAGTCATCAAAAAGCCAAAGGACAGATATTCAAGACTACATAGCTTATCTGCAAAAGAATACAACCAGAAAACAGCTTGATAAAGACAGAGAGTTCAAGATGGCAGAATCCCTTCTGTGTTGAACTGAACCACCAGCAGTTCTGTTTTTATCCTGCACAGGGTAGTAAAACAGAGGGGAAAGCCTCACACCGAAAGCTGAATGGCCCACAGAAACCTATATGTTGACAAGAACCTAACGGCACATGCAGGTACGCATCTTTTATACTTGATGTGATACACTTACATGGCCCCTGTTGAATCTCTTGGGGACCAACAGTAAAGCAAGTTTAGAACTTCAAATCTTGAGACATCTATAGCAAGATGCTGATCCAATGTGGCTCCAAACATCTTCTGTTTTCCTGGCTCACCTGAAGAGGAAAAAACACTACAGAGGATGTGGGAACTGAATTTCTTTCTGTAGTTTCTTTTAGAGCAATTGTCTGAGAGATTTGGTGCAGTCCTTTGTGAAGTTTGGATGAAACACTTGAAGAACTAGTGAAAAACATTCAAATGAAAAGATGGAATGGAGAATATTTAAGCAAAAGATATTCATTGTAGGCCAATCAGTGTTTCTAACCCGTCAAGTGGGAGGCAAAGAGAAAAGAGAGAAAATGCAGTGTTTCTCCTCTACCTCCTCACCACATTCATGACCGAAACTCATGGAACACCTAACTTCTGACCACATGAGGGAGGGAGTTGGTAGAACAACCTGGAAGGCTGAGCATTTGGTACAGTCTCCATCCCTGGCTGTGTGACCTGGTTAAGCAGCAGGGAGGCCTTTCAGATAATACCTTTTTCTATGAAAACTTTCTGGTGGATATAAGTTGAAGAAATAATGAAAGAGAAAAATGCATTGAACTTACACAAAAACAGAACTCACAGTGATGTACTCATACTGGCAAGTCGTATCTAATTCTGTTTTTCAAAAGGTTTGGGATAGATTCCTTGAAATTAGAAATCAGAAACAAAGGGGGAAAGAAGCAATTTCCAAATAATAGAAAATGTTTTCAAACCAAACACAACACAAGCTGCATGATTCATCTTTCTAGGAAATACTATCCCTAGAAAAATAATCTTTAAAAAAAACTAAGATTAGTACAACCAAGACTGGGGAATATTATAACACAGAAGCATAATAGATTCACTTTAATTAACTTCTAAAGTATTTTTATTATGTCTTATATTATTTTGGTTATTCTCTATAGGAGCTCTGGACATAAAACTTTTTTCAAATGCATTCCAATTTAACCAAAATTTACTTGAATTCTGCCTAATAAAAAATGCCAGAATTTTCTGGAAAATGTGATTGAAGGACAAATTAGTCCCTTACCTGACGTGGTTGTTCGTTCATCCGTTGTGGGTCTGACTTCACTTTATTGTTGGGGTGGTTTGTGACTTTGGTGACTGGTTGCTTGAAAATTGATGCAGTTTGTCTAATTGGCAATGTCGTGTTTAAGTCTGGTTTACCCTGTAAATAGAAATGTATTTTCATTAATATTACATGTAAACAAAATTGGATCAATACCTTTTTAAACTCAAAATCCATAACTTTAAATAAGATTATTCCAACTCTTGGTCCATGTCAGCACTTTAAATATTCTAAAGGTACATTTAAAAAGCATATTTATTTGTATGCCTGAGGGTATGTATGTGTACCACTTGCACACAAGAGCATGCAGATCTCAGAAGCAGCACTGGGATACCCTGGAATTGGAGTTACAAATAGCTGTGAGCCACTGTGTGATGCTGAGACTTGAACTCTGGTCCTCTGCAAGAGCAATATGGGTTCTGAACTGCTGATCCATCTCTCCAGTCCCTCTAAAAGTGCATTTTAAGCACTTTATTATGTGCTATTTATTATGTGTTTTTTTTTCATAATTAAGGTATACTTTTAATTCTTTGTATGGTATTAATTATCTAATTAACAGAATACTAAGGACATACTAAGGACATTCAAATGAATATATCTGTGAAGGAATAAAAACTTTAAGACACACAGAGAAACCCTGTCTCGAAAAACCAAAAAAAAAAAAAACTTTAAGACAGCAATCAGAATAACAGTTGTTTCTACATTCTAAGACTAGGGACAAATATTAGCATTAAATGTATAAGCGTTAAAAGTTGGTTTGATTGACTAGCAGTGAGCCAGACCTAACATAAAATCACATTAAATTACTGATTCCAGTAAACAGAATTCATTTTAGAAAATGTCAATAAAATAAGGAGATATGCCTAAATTAAAACATCAAAATTTGAGCAAAATTTGATAAAAATAGAAAATTTCACACATGATCTCATATAACAGAGTGCAAACAAAGGTTCCCAAAAAAGTAGTGGATAAACTCACTTTCTGTACACATATAAGGTGTATGTATATGGAAACCAATAAACTGTATGTACCAACTTGATGACCATCAAGTGAGGCCTACCTACTTACATATGGGGAAATATCTCAAAATCTGAAAATAACACTTCTGATGGCAAGTATTTTGTATATGGAATAATCATCCTGTATTCCTGTTCTATTTGCTGAGAGTGTCTCACTATATATATCCCAGGCTTGACTAGAAACTGATTCTGCAGCTCAGGCTGCCTGTGACAAGCATGCACTCAGTCTGATAGGCATACCTTATTTCTGTTATGTGTCACACTCCATGCTTTGGGGAAGTTTTAAAATCAAAGCTTTGAAAAGCCATGTGACATGCTATTCAAATTTGAATCATCCAGTAAATAAAATGTCAGACATGTTTTAGTGAGGTCAAACTGTAAAGCAGAACTGTTGTTAACTTCATTTGCAATACCCAATGGAATGATAACAAAAAGAACAGGACAAAAATTATTATTTTGATTCTGACAAAAGATGTAAAAGCCATACACCGAGAACACTCCATGCCTGACATTTCTATTAGAGGTCTTTTGTCTTTACCACTGTCTCCATACAGAACTGTAATAATCAAGTTCCATACTACCAAAAAGTGGGTCTCAAATCTGAGTACACATCTGTTAGAAGAGAATGACAGCCTCATCCCCAGAGCTTCTGATCCAGTAGGCCTGAAGGGGAGCCAGGGAATTTGCATCAGTATAAGGCCTCCAACGATGAAGGACGACGCTGATGCCCACATTTGGAGAAGATTGCTCTCAACAGAGATTATTGATTGGTGGCAGGTAGTTCAAGTCTAACTGTACCTGTGTGCTGTCAGTTTTTAGGGGCCTTTAGTAGATTAAGTGTGGAGTCCATATATAAAATCCATTCTTCCAGCTTTTCTCAAACCCTGAAAGATGGAGAAATGGTCGACTGACCCTGGTTGAGTAGCAAGTATAACTAATTAGTCACAGCTGCCCACTAGAGGGACAAGGTGTCCTCTGGCATTCCTGGACAATTCACATTTGCATTAACTGTATGGGCCATACAGGTATGGAGTCTGTGGCCACTGCTTATAAAATATCAGCAAGCCTGGCGAGTAAGCATCACCTGGCAGCTATGACAACAACTTCAGTAATATTTGAATCCATTATTAAATATCCCTTTCCCCCATCTCCTTTGCCCACCACCAACATTCCTCTTCTGTATGTACTGTGCATTCTTGCAATTATTTTATCCTAATTTTCTCTCAATGAATGTGCTTATCCTCAAGAGATACATTTACCTCAAATGATTCTCACAATACTAGTTTCTGGCACTTAGATTTATCTTAATAATCCATCACTGTGCAAATTCAAGGGACAGGGTGCAAAATAACCACTCAAGGACACCAACTTTACAAACTATGCAGTTTGAGAAAGCAAGATGGCTCAGTGGATAAAGTCTTGTAGTCAAGACTTGACATTTGAGTTCAATTCCTGGAAGCCCCATGATGGAAGGAAAGAATTTAATCCCCAAAACTGTCCTCTGACTCCCACATGTGCCATGGAATAGTAACGGCCACACACATACACATGAGCACATGTGCATACATACACAGAATAATTTTTTGTTTGTTTGTTTGTTTGTTTTTCGAGACAGGGTTTCTCTGTGTAGCTTTGCGCCTTTCCTGGAACTCACTTGGTAGTCCAGGCTGGCCTCGAACTCACAGAGATCCGCCTGGCTCTGCCTCCCGAGTGCTGGGATTAAAGGCGTGCGCCACCACCGCCCGGCTCAGAATAATTTTTAAAAGAGGCTCAAGAGAGTGCTTCTGTGTGTATACATGTGCTTGTCTGTGCACATACACGAGTATGCAGGCACACATGTGCCTGTGCACAGAGGCCAGAGGTTGATGTCAAGCATCTGCTTCTCTTCACCTTACTTTTATAGTCAAGGTGTCTCACTGAACCTGACGCTTACCAATTTGGCTAGACCAACTGGCCAGAGAGAACCAGGGGTCCTCCTGTCTGCCTCCCGAGCACTGGGATTACAGGCAGAGGACAGGCTTGGTGCTTTTCATGGGTACTAGGGGTGTGCATTTTTTAAAACTCCTGCGGCAATTCTGGGATGTATACAGGCATCAAGCATTTCTGGCTTACAACATTTAGAACATTTGAGGCCCTAAACACCAAAGTCATCCAGCCCAAGGTCAATATTCAGTCATCAAGAATTCTAATTCTTTTCTTTTTCTTTCTTTTTTTTGGTTTTTTGAGACAGGGTTTCTCTGTGTAGCTTTATGCCTTTCCTGGAACTCACTTGGTAGCCCAGGCTGGCCTCGAACTCAGAGAGATCCGCCTGGCTCTGCCTCCCAAGTGCTGGGATTAAAGGCATGCGCCACCACCACCCGGGAACCTAATTCTTAAGGAAACAACTGCTGTCATTAAGATTATCAAATAATTATGTCACTAAACAGTATCTTGTTTAGTTAACATTTACATTCTTTAATAAGGAACAGTATGCTTTGCTGGTACTGGAACAAATATGGCATCAGAAGTAATTACTATTGTTTGTATATACAAGCATATCCAAGTCTGAGACTCACACTAGAAAGGATGAAGCAAGGACTACACTTCACTATTACAAACTATGAATCTTAAATCCACAAAGACTGGAAGTATGGAATATTTGTAATTACTAGTGTTAAAAATGCTAAGGTTCACAGGGTAGTGGTAGTACATACATGCCTTTAATCCCAGCACTCGGGAGGCAGGGGCAGACGGATCTCTGAGTTTGAGGCCAGCCTGGTCTACAGAGTGAGTTCCAGGACAGCCAGTACTACACAGAGAAACCCTGTCTCAAAAGAACAAAACACACACACACACACACACACACACACACACACACACACACACACACATACAAAAAAAAAAAACCAACAACAACAAAAAAAACCGCTAAGGTTGATGTTTCTATATATTTATGTTCTTGGATCAATAAAGAAAAATTAGAAGAGCTTGCTAAAATATTCAGGATACATTGTTAGGTTCCACTGTCTAATGAAATGGTTCACTCCCTTCTGTCTTAAAGAACCCAAGCCTAATTCTTAGGAAGACAACTGCACAGAGTAAGAGATGTTTAAGAATGTACCTCATCATTCTTCTCTTGATTTCACTCAAGCATTTTTTAACACTTTTTCTTTTCCTTTTAACTGGTTAACAAATTTGACAAGTAATTTTGTATTCTAAAACATTCTCTTGGGCAATCTGCAAAGTAGACTGACCAGCTTTCCAGAAACTCACAGAACCAGTAAACTATACTACCACCCTCCCCTAAGGACTGCTAGAGTCACTTAATTTGTGGCCACCTGTTACCTGAGTTGTCCTAAACCACTGACACTCTGCCATAAGCTTGGGCGTTAAAAACAATCACCTTGGCATGAAGCACAATTATAGCTGTTAACAAAATCAAAATTGTCTCTTTATAAAAAAAAAAGTGAAGCTCCTTTATACAAACTAAATCAGCAAATTCACTGCAATATTGTAAACAGCCCAGCTCACGAACTTTAAAATTCTAAAAATATGTCCCATTAAATCTTCAAGAGAAATAACTGTAGTATTCAATAACATAATTAGTAAGCAGGTTTCTTTTTTGTTTTACTTTCAATGACCTTCCATAAAAGCCTGTAATGTAAGACTTAAGAACCACACAGTAAAGGTGACTGGGGAGGGGATGGAACAATGGGGTCTCAATCCATGGAACACTTGAGTGACCCACATGGGTTATAAAACATGAATGACAAAGAACACTTCATAAACCAGTATCTGCCAGGTGTTTGCATCCCTATCCATCAGAACTTCGAAGTTACATGCAGCTCACTACACCATGAAGCTGACATCAGTTTGCATTTTACCTAATATCGATAATTACAGATGCAACTGTCAGTTGTCCTTAGTTACACTGTTAACAAACTGATACAATGCTATCAACCTTTTATACATGAGTAAACGCTTCAGCAGCCTACATTTTATATATTCCTTTTGAATCGAGTTCCACTTCCAAAGTTATTTCCAATTTCAGACTTGAAAATCTTTATTAATATTTTATCAATATTATCAATATTAATAAAC